CTGGACAGCAGTTACTAGAAGTGTGCTACTGAGCTAAAGCTAGTTAGCAGCAAGATGCCCCCTTTCTTCACAGACCAAAAACTTTTACAGAAGATTGCATTGATTGAACCAAACATTAACTAGTTGGAATTGAACTTGGAAGTGAGTGACACCAATTCCTCAAATAGTGGACAATGGCATGCTACAGGGTGTCCGTGGGGTCTTAAAAAGTATTGAAAGTTGATAAATCAATTTAACGAAAATGAAGGCTATTAAAAAGTATTAAAGGGCATTTTCCAAGGTATTACATTTTGTAGCTTGTTTCCAATAAGTATATAAATTGTCCAAAGAGGTTGTATTCCACAGTCTGCCTGAATGTAATCATTGCGTAGGTGTGTAGTGTGATTCTGTGTAGTTTATTTATGGCATCCCGTTGGGTTTGACGTCATCTGAACAGGACATCGCACGCTCACTGCTTGATAGCACGAAGGTCCGTTTACACCGGTTGTTAAACAACATCGTTATGGGGAAATGCAAGTCTGCGTCCAAATGGTTGGAAGATAAGGAGGAAGGACAATCAATACTGTATATAGTCAATGTGAGGTAAAGTGTGTCGCCAAGGTAACCGGTTAGAACTCCAACTGGCCATGAGGTCTTAAAATGTGTGGAAAGGGTCTTAAAAAAGGTATTACATCTGACTTCAGGATTCCTGCATATACCCTGTGCTAACATACAGCTAATTAGCAAATTATACCAACAACCAATTTCATTGTTTATTCCTTGGCTTACCTCTGATCTACCCCACCCTTATTTCCCTCTTCTCTTGCAGGCAGGACTTCTTCCTCTGAGCCCCGGCGTCTCTCCTCCCTCGGCAGCCTGCTGGATGATCAGCATTGGCATCATTTAGCGGTGGAGCGGCGCAGCGCTCACCTCAACCTCACTGTGGACAAACACACGGAGAGGATTCAGATCCCTGCTGAGTTCAGCCACTGGCACATCCAGCAGGTGGGGGAGAGGACGCCACTCTGACACAAGCCCTTATACACATACTCTATGCATATGTTTCACAGGATCTGTTGTGTCTCCGTGTAGCTGATTGTCGGGGCAATCCAGTACCCCGTCTCAAAGAGGAACTTTCATGGCTGCCTTGAAAACCTGATGTACAACGACCTCAAGCTGATAGAGTTAGCCAAACACGAGGACCACAAAGTTACTGTCATGGTGCGTCCCATTTTCCTGTTTCCTTTGTGGTGAAAGCCTGTCATCATTTTCTAATGTTTCACTTTGTTTAAATGCTTTTCGGTATCCTCCTCAGAAACATAACAGCATTGATCAGTTCTTACCTTTGAAAGGGTAGATCTATTGAAAATACCAGCCCACACATTTTCCGTGGCACCACATGGAGTTTGTTTTTTATTCCTCCAATGTGCTGATGACAGATCACGTAATTCATTTGGGGGAAAGCAAAGAGCTTTGATGTTCATCTCCTCAAACTCTCTGGGCTTTTATTTACACAGCATCAATCGCTGGAGCTGCGCCACCTAAAATAAAAAAACTGGAGGCTAAATTTGGTTCTTATAAAAGATTCTGCTCTGTGTTATGTGTGACTTACTCTCTAGAAGAGGGTCTAACAAGGACACAAGTTGAAGCTTTTTGGCTTTTCCGTGCCCTGTAGTGTGTTATATAGGTTTTTGTGCATGTAAATGGTCTGCAAAGGCTACATTCACAGGGTTTCGCTCCTCCCCCCTCCTTTGTTTACTTCTGGAAAATAGTGACATCACCGTGTAACACTCACGCTTCTATTGGCTAGCACTCCTAGCATCAGCAGGAGAGGACTCTTTAAAGTAGAGACACTACATACTGATATACACCTGAACATCAGCAGGAGAGGACTCTTTAAAGTAGAGACACTACATACTGATATACACCTGAACATCAGCAGGAGAGGACTCTTTAAAGTAGAGACACTACATACTGATATACACCTGAACAACAGCAGGAGATGACTCTTTAAAGTAGAGACACTACATACTGATATACACCTGAACATCAGCAGGAGAGGACTCTTTAAAGTAGAGACACTACATACTGATATACACCTGAACATCAGCAGGAGAGGACTCTTTAAAGTAGAGACACTACATACTGATATACACCTGAATATCAGCAGGAGAGGACTCTTTAAAGTAGAGACATTACATACTGATATACACCTGAACATCAGCAGGAGAGGACTCTTTAAAGTAGAGACACTACATACTGATATACACCTGAACATCAGCAGGAGAGGACTCTTTAAAGTAGAGACACTACATACTGATAT